CTGGGGCCCAAACCTTAGCCCCAGGCCACGCAGTCTGTGGAAGACTGCGCCGGGCTGTGTAACCAACACATGCCCCGGCCTGAGTAAACTGCGTATGGTTGTGGGACTGAACGCCAAGACTTCGGAAAATCAAAGGTCAGAGTCAACTGTCAGTCAAAGTACCATGCCAGGTCTTGGATCAGATTCATTCACTTGTTGAGTGCAGGTACCCAGACTACGACCCAGGCCAAAGAAGATACAGTTGCAGATCTATCCAGACCCTCCAGGCAGGAAGATCTGRACGGCTGAGGTTGGRTACTACCGGGGATCAGACCCCGAGTCAACACTATAAGAGCATTSGCTCCTTGACTTTGGTAATTCTGGCTGTCTTGCGTTGACGCTGTTTTCAGCGCCTGACTCTCGCAGCCTTGGTTTGACGCTGCGAGACTGGAGGAAGGCYGGCATTTGCTGACATGGTGAGTTACCGCTGGCTGGCTTGCTATCTGGCTGGCGACTGTCTYTGATCTGCTGACGTGGCAGTCGCCACGTATTGCTGCTGACGTGGCGTTGCCACGTGTCGTACTGTCAMATCCTTACGACCGGCTATTGATCATCGGCTTCGTTACTTCAAGGAGGGGTCGTGACTATTCGGGATGAGATCAGGACTTGTGAGGTGTTGTGAATACGTACCTGATGTCTTCATGACGACGAGGCTYCAGYGCTAATTAATGTATTGATCGGTGCCACGTGGCACCCGGAGGCTGAGTCTCTAATTTGTATTCAGATCATTGCTGATGTGGGGTTGCTATCGTAGGAGGAGCCCGGAGAAGGAGTGGGCCTTATCCCTCTCCCTTGTCTAATCTCCCCCACCTCTCTTCGTCCGTGTATGATTATCTCACCCCCCACTTTCTTACTGGATACTATTGTCGTTGAAGATCTATCATTGGTTCGATAATCTTGGCTTTCAGTGTCGACATTGTATCCACGACTTGGGTTCATTGCATAACGATAGAAGTGGTCATATTCTCGGAAACCGGAATTATTCTTTTATGAAAATCGAATTTCCATTCTATCTCGCAAATTTTTTTTTGAAAACCGAAATCTTGCGAAGCCTACCAACATTTCGTTAGGCATATTCGAAGGTTGCCATATTCTCAGAAACTGGATTTCGTTCTTTTCTGAAAATCGCATCTTTACTCTATTTCGCAAAAAAAAAATTTCAAGATCGCATTTTGTGAAAGCCGAAACTTTGCGGAACCGAGCCTAGATCTCGTTCATAGTACTCTTCTGACATGTCTCACTCATAACAGATCGACAGATATACAAAAAAAAAAAAAAAAGGAAGTAGTCCTCTTTTATTTTTTATTTTATCTGTTGATTAGGGCCGGGAGGAAAGTATTGTTGGGTTGGTTCCCTACCTACGTTTTCCCTCCCCACCCACCCCCTTTGCATGCATTTTCGGGTTGGTATAGTGCCACGTTAGCAGTGCCACGTCAGCAGTGCCACGTCAGTACAGTGCCACGTCAGCAGTGCCACGTCAGTACAGTGCCACGCAACAGTGCCACGTCAGCAGTGCCACGTCAGCAGTGCCACGTCAGCAAAAGTGCCATGTCAGCAGTGCCACATCAGCAACAGTGCCACGTCAGCAGTGCCACGTAAGCAACAGTGCCACGTCAGCAGTGCCCCGCCACCATGACGGGCGCAGCTCTGGGCATGCCAGGCCAACTGGCCAACGAGTCTATTGCCGACTACAAACAGCGGTTCCAGACTCAGCTCGCACTCATCGAAGCTGAGGAACAGTGCCAGCTGGCAGCCGAGGCTGCCTGCCTACAGGCTGAAGCAGCGGCAACAACTGAGAAGCAGCGGCTTAGGCCGAAGCAGATGCAGATACCCAGGCACGCCGAAAGGAAGCCCAGGATCTGTTGCAGCGGCATGAAACGGCCAGCATCGAAAGACTCAAGTATTGGCACTTTGAACCATCTGAAGGACATGACGACGCGACACCGGAAGAGCAGCACAGGGAATTCATGGCCAAACTCGTGACTCGGTTGGTTTACACTTGTAACCACCTGCAGTCCGAGTTGGCGAACCTCCAGCGGGCCGTACGGAACCACAAGGCTCAACACGAGGATGCAGCACGGGCACTCGACTCCCGTGTATAGGACTTGGCGAAGACTGCACCAAGACCGGAGGCTGGCGAGTCCAGCAATGCACCCTCTGCCCGCCAACTGGAGGAACGCGTCGATCAAGTAGTGGCAATGCTAGGTGACATCGGCACCTTTGCAGCGCCAGCCACCATCAGCCAGCAGCTGGACACACTGAAGACCGAGATCAAGCAGCGACAACAGCCGTCTGACCCCGATCGCAGCACCAACACGACGAAGCATTACAAGATGCCGACGTTCCGGATCGAGAAGTTCGATGATTACACACATCAGGACCCGGTCGTCTGGTGGCAAGGTTTTACAACAGAGTTGGGGATTCATGAGGTCCCCAAACATCTGTTCATCGACGCACTGTTCCTTAACGTCAAGGGAGGATGCCTGATCAGGCTCAGCCATATGGCAACCGTCCACGGCGTCGAGGTCTTCGACCTACACACGAAGGTCTCCTGGGAGGATCTGACAAAGGAATGGAAGAAATGGTCCATCGTTGACGACGCCCCGGTGCTCGCCATAAACCGCATCTTCACGATGGCTCAAGGAAACACAGCGACACGTGATTGGCTCACAGATTGGCAGAAGATCGTGGCGACGCCCGATCTGGACTTACCATTTCCACATCTGCGCCGGGAGTTCTACAACCGATCATGCGCCGCTTTGAGCCTCGCACTTGGTGATCGCGAGCACTACAACACCTTCGCCAAAATCATCAACAAGGTGAGGGAGATCATCAAGACAAATAGGGCGGCTGCACACGAGAAGTCAACGTCGCAGCCAACCTATGTGGAGAAGGTGAAAACTGGTCCGCGACCGCAGCAGTTCGCTGCAGTCCAATCGGACAACATTGTGGAAGACTCGGCAGCCACCCAAGCGTCACGTGAGGGAGATCAAGTGGCTGTTGTCCATCCGCGAAGCAACAACAAGTCCCGAGGAAACGGGAAGGCGAAAACCGCATCGCCGGCCGGAAACGGACAGCCAGCACCATGGGTTAAGTTTCACTTAACCGAGGCTGAGTACAAGTACCGCGGCCGTTACGGCTGCCGCTATTGGTGCAATAGCACCAAGCACAAGACCTCCCTCTGCCAGGATCAGGGCAACGAGGATGTTCGGCCTCGCATCAACTCAGGAAACTTAGTTGCGAGGGAGGTGAGACGACTCCACCTCTCACTCCACCAGATTCGGCCGCCTTGCTAGCGGCCTCCTACACATCTGGGGAGGATGTGAATGTCGTGAGTTCTCGGTATGCATACAAGGACTATGCTGTCCACTTGGTCCCACCGTTGGACCAACCGCTCCACGTGCAATAATCTACCGCATGCACGGTTTCATCACCATCGGCAACCGGTTCGGCAGCTTCGCCGCCATCTACCGCCGGGGATTCAACGTCATGGTCAAGACTTGAAGAGCTCGACCCGTTGACATTTGCGGATTTCCAATCGATGCCCCTTCCCCGGTCCGGTCGATTGCCGAAACCGCATTGCAATGTGCTCATGGCACAATTGCAGGATTACTTGCACACTGCAGTACCAACTCCGTTGATGGACGCCGGAGTAGAGGTTGTCGACCTTCACGCCTACATTGCGAAGATCGACCGCGAGTTCAAGATGCAACGGTATGATGACATCGACGCACCATTGCTATATGTACGCATTCAGATCGGAGAGGCGACCTGCAGCGCTTTGATCGATTGTGGAGCATCTCGCAACTACATGAGTCAGGACTTCATGGTACGCACCGGACTTGGCCCACGAGTCCGAAGGAAGTCCCAGCCCACGCCAGTCACGTTGGCGGACGGTCACAAGCACAAGTCAATCGACCGGTGCATTGATGACGTCCCAATGTACTTTGCCCCTCACGCAAGGGAGGCGGTGTCCTTCGACATTCTCGACACCAAATTCGACATGATCTTGGGCATGTCATGGCTGCGAAGCGAGGACCACCCGGTGAACTTCTATCGCCGCACCGTTCACGTTCGTGATCGGAACGGAGTACTTGTCCCATGCACAGTAGCTCCTCCTCACCCTTCAGTCAGCTGTCACGTGGTTTCCGCCGCAAGCATGTGAGCTTCCATCATCAGAGACGACATCGAGGAGATGGGGGGGTGTTTTCTCCACGCCCTCCCGCCCCATGACGCTTCATCGACGGACTCATCTTCGAACCCATGCATCACCGAGCTTCTCGACGCCTACAGCGACGTGTTCGAAGGCCCGCACGGAGTAGTACCGGATCGGCCCATCCGCCACGAGATCATCCTCGAGGATGGGGCCGTACCTCCACGCGGTTGCATCTGCCGAATGAGCGAGGAAGAGTTAAGTGTGCTTCGGGCACAACTGGAGAAAGGCTGGATTCGGCCTAGCTCATCGCCATACGGTGCTCCTGTTCTCTTCGTCCGGAAGAAGAACAAGGATTTGCGGTTGTGCATCGATTATCGCAAGCTCAACGCGCAAACAATCAGAAACGCCGGCCCTCTCCCACGCATCGACGACCTTCTCGAACGACTGGGGGGCGCCAAGTTCTTCTCCAAGCTGGACCTCAAGTCGGGATATCACCAACTCGAGATTCGGAAGGAGGACCGCTACAAGACAGCGTTTAAGACGCGATATTGGCATTTCGAATGGCTGGTTATGCCACTTGGCCTTACGAATGCCCTAGCCACTTTCCAAGCGGCTATGACAACGGAGTTCCGACACATGCTGGATAGATTCGTACTTATCTACCTCGACGACATCCTGGTGTACAGCCGGAGTTTGGACGAGAATGTGGAACACCTGCGCACCGTTTTGGAGCGGCTACGACAGGCCAAGTACAAAGCAAACCGCGACAAGTGCGAGTTCGCACAGCAGGAGCTGGAGTACTTGGGACACTATGTGACGCCGCAAGGCATCCGTCCGCTTGCGGACAAGATCGAGGCCCTCCGCGTATGGCCCGAGCCCACCAACACCACGGTCGTTCGTTCATTCATGGGGTTGGCGGGCTACTATCAACGATTCATCACCGGATACTCAAGGATTGCTGCACCAATGACGAGATTACAATCGCCAAAGGTGCCATTCGTATTCGATGACGACGCACGCCGGTCATTCCAAGCACTTAAGACGACCATGCTCATGGGACCCGTCCTTAGCATCTATGACCCCACCCTGCCTACGAGAGTGGCAACTGACGCTTCCGGCTATGGCATTGGGGCAGTATTGGAACAACACGACGGCGACGATTGGCACCCTGTGAAGTATTTCAGCCACAAAGTGCCTCCCATCAACTCGCTTGATGATGCAAGGAAGGAGTTGCTCGCATTCTTCATGGCTCTCAAGCGATGGCGGCACTTCCTCCTTGGGCGTCGTAGGTTCACATGGGTTACGGACAACAATCCATTGACCTACTACAAGACGCAGGATACGGTGAGCAGCACGATCGGACGATGGATGTACTTCATCGACCAATTTGACTTCACACCGAAACATCTTCCCGGCCTCTCCAATCGCGCAGCAGATGCACTCTCGCGAAGACCTGATCTTTGCGCTATGACGCATCATGCCTTCACATTCGACGAGGAACTTCAGCGACACTTCATCCGGGGATATGAGTCGGATCCGGACTTCGCCGCGTTGTATGCGCAGCTATCTTCGGATCACCTGCCGGCCACCCACTATCGCATCGTCGACGGTACTTGCTCCTCCACTCGAGAGGCAAGGACTTATTGTGTGTCCCACGAGACTGTCGTCTTCAGACTCGCCTTCTCGGTGAGTATCATGACTCGCGACTCGCCGTCCATTTTGGAGTCAACCGCACCATTGCACGACTTCGACAACGATTCCGATGGCCCGACCTCATTACCGACGTCACTCGGTATTGCGACTCTTGCGAAGTTTGCCGACGAAGCAAGCCCCGCAATCGCAACCCCTACGACGAGTTGCGCCCGATGCCTATCCCACGGGAACCCGGCCTCTCCATTGCCATGGATGTCACTGGACCATTTCCTCGTGATCGCCTCGGGCACGACGGCATCCTCACGGTTGTGGACCGTTTGAGTAAGTATGCGTGTTTTCTCCCTTGCAAGTACTACTCCACGGCTCCCGAGCTGGCACGCCTCTTGCACACCGGTTGGATTTGTGGCCACGGTGTACCAGAAGACATTGTCAGCGACCGCGACACTCGCTTCATGTCGGCATTTTGGACTGCTCTCATGCAGGAGTCCGACACGAAGATGAAACCAAGTTCGACTCGGCATCCACAGACGGACGGGCAGACGGAGCGGGCACATCAAACCGCTCAAATGATGCTTGGTACGCTCATCCGTCCGGAGCAGAAAGATTGGGTTGACTGCCTCCCCGACATCGAGTTCGCCTACAACACTTCGGTGCACCCGGCGATCGGCGGGACTCCATTCGAGTTGCACCACGGTGGACGGAAATGAAGTCTCTTCGCCGACCTTCTCCTCCCACGACCAGCCGACATTGACGCCTCTTGCTCTCCCGCTTCCGTTCGCAAGTACAGGGAATTGCTGGCTCAAGCCCGCGCGAATATGCAAAAGGCTCAAGTCTGCATGCACCAGCAAGCCAACAGGCGTCTCGTGCCATGTCCCATCCGCGCCGGTGATCTGGTTTGGTTCTTCGCGGAAGAGTTTGCAATGGAACAGGACGTTTCACGCAAACTGATTCCCAAGTGGTTTGGACCATTGCCCGTAACATCAGCCTCGGGCGATGAGCCCGATGGCCCTTCATTTGTGATCAACATCCCTGCGCATCTGACGGTCCATCCAGTCTTTCACGCCTCGAAGCTGGCAACATATACACCAGCTAAGAGCGACGACTTCCCGGGCCGACGATCGCAGGACCCTCCATCTATGGATGGTCATCAGGAAGTTGACCGCGTCATCACGGATCGCAAGTACGACAACAAGCCTCGCMAGTACAAAGTTACATTCARAGCWTGYGATCCCGACGACACTCGGTGGATTTCAGGAACAGATTTGAAAGCGTCCGCACCGCTGATCTACGCTCACTACGAGCGACAAAGGTTAGCTCAGGGACCTTCACGACCTGCCCCTCCCACCCGGACTGTGGTCCCTCCCTCAGACAGACAGCTTCACCCTCGCAGGTAAGCTCGGTCGCTCAAGGAGTGGGGAGTGTGGCAAACTGCGTAGCCACACGGGCCTGCAGGGCCTGTCCCGCATTTCCAGCCTAAAAGCCTAGAAATAAGGGCTTACAGGCCCCTGTCGTTTCAGCCTGAAAGAAGAAAAACGAGGGCCTGCAGGCCCTATGTCGTTTCAGCCTAAAACAGGGCTTTTCAGCCCTGAGGCTTTTCAGCCTGAAACGGAGGGCCACTTTCGGGCCCTCATAAGATCRACCTACCCTAAGACTCAGGCACAAAACCAGGGTTTCGGGAACTGGCTATCTTTAGCCTGTTCCCACGACAGCCTCAAGCAGGAGCTGYAGCGGCAGCCCCTGACTCCCTTCGGCATTGGCAAGAGCAGCCTCCTGGACTGCCTCGCCCTGCAGTCAGGAGGCAGGCCGAGTAGTACATAGGAAGTTCCCATGCACGAGACGGGTAGGTAGTTGGACAGTAGGCACGAGTAGTCTTCAGGATTTCGGCCGCAGCACTCAGGAGGAGCACTGCAGTAGTAGTTAGCGCTAGCAGTAGTCTTCAGCGCTGGGCGCTCATAGCTGCAGTAGTAGTCTTCAGCGCAGGGCGCTAGTAGCTGGTGGTGGTAGCGTTGGAGAGATGGCTGGCGGAGGCCAGCGGTACTTACCTGTGGCGCCATAGCTCCAGCTCCATCTTCGAGGTACCTGCATCAAGGCGCCAGCTTCACAGGTTAGTACTGGACACAGAGAGAGAGAGAGAGTTCTTCTTCTTCCTCTTCTAAGTCCACCATCTCTTCTTCACCCTCTCACCACCTGACTTCTCAGTATCAGCAGACTACTACAGAGAGAGAGAGAGTTGTGACTTGAGACTTGACGACAGTGGATCCAGACTCGACATTGGGATTCAGACATTTTGACGAGGGACTATTTGGGCCTGTGCCGAAGACTTGGTGTTGATGACATTCCCATCTTCCCCTCCTCTTCGTGTAACCCCTCCTCTTCTTCGTCTGTGTATGGTTGGGGCTGGCGCATTCTTCCTGTGTGAGCGCCAGACCCCTTCACGCCATGGAATGATGATGATGATGTATGTTCTGGGCTGCATTGCAATATTGATTGTTCGGATCATTGGTATCTAAGTTTTCCGCTGCGCTATCTTGTACTTTGTTAGAGAGGTCGGTTCTTGTTCTGGTCTGCACCTTTACAGTATACACACACACACCCACACACACACACACAGACACACACACAAGCAAACACACAAACACACACAGAAGAAGAAGAAGAAGAAGAAGAAGAAGAAGAAGAAGAAGAAGAAGAAGAGACAGGGATATGGAGGGCGAGAACAGGAAGAAGAAGAGACAGCGATATGGAGGGCGAGAACAGGAAGAAGAAGAGGAGGTTGACCTCTCCACTGTCTCACCTGCAGGTAACTGCCGCCGTGGACTAACAAACGGGCGAGCCTCTCTGTGCCGCAGGTCGCTGGCGAAGGAACCAGCTATGGCACCCAGTAAGCTGCTCGCACCTTGCAGGTTTGGCCGCTGCCTCTCCCTCACCTCCTAGCTTCTACGCCTCGACCTCTATGCAGCGCAGCGCTGAAACTAGCGGGCTGCTCCAACAGCATGTCGCCCAAAGGAGTGGGCACTCCTGTCTGTCCAGGAACTGGGCTGACAGCACTGGGCCTGGCTGCAATGCCCACGGTCTACAATCTGGGTCGTCAGATCTGAAGTCCAATCAATGGCCCAGGTTGCAGGCCCGAGTCCTGCGCTTGGTCCTAGGCCTGAAAACGGCCTGCCTGGGTCCCTGCCGGACGTCCAGGCTATCCTGCTGATGCAGCAGGGGAAGTCCACTGCCGGACGACTCCGAACCTGGCCTCCCACAGGCCCAAAACGTGGCCTTGGTCCAAAGAGACGCTAGTCTGTTCGGACGTACAGCAAAGTCTGAAACGACGCCCTGGAACAGACACAGATGGAACAGAAAAAAAAGTCAGCAAATAAATAAATAAATAAATAAACAAATAAATAGATAAATAAACTATGTTAGGCCGTCGCCCAGCCTTGCACGCCCGGCCAGGCACACCCGGGCCAGTTGGGCAGAGGGGGGGTCGCCCGGCAAAACCAGACGGGTCAAAAAAGGGGCAAGGATCCCAAAAAAAAGAAAAAAGATTTCAGGCCAGGACTGTGCTTGGCCTAAGCAGTCAGAATCCGGTTTTGGTGATGGGTCATCAGGGGGGGTTGGGGGGTATAAACAAGGACTGAAGGGCTTAAAAGTTAAAAGGGTACATTTTTCTCATTTATTTTTATCTTGAAATTAACAAGGAATTTCGAGGTGGCCCTCAGCCAAAAGTCGTTTGAATTTCAATTTTACTCAACACATTTTGTTTTCAGATTTTTTTTGAATTTTTTGAATTTTCTATTTTTTTAAATATTATGCGCTGGGATCGCCCAGGACCCTGTCCGGGCCCTGCCCGGTCCGGGCCGCCCGGGAGGGTACCTAGGCGACCTTCCCCCAGCCGGGCCACCCGGGGACTAACACAGTTAATAAATGAATAAATGCTGACTAAAAGAAGGCCTCGAAGGCACAGCAACGTGCCTGGCCCACCAAGATGGCCGTGGACCTCCAGGTCGTGTGCGTCAAATGGGCACACGGCATTGGGGGGCCCAACAAGCCCCCAAAACGTGGTCCGTGTGGCAGGCTCAGCATGCAACACGCGCCCTCTTGACACAGGGCCGCCTTCAACCCAACGCGCAAGCCTTATCACTCCCTCGCCATTCCACGACAAAGCACCGAACAGCTATTGTGCTGGAGCCAGCGGGGCGGCTCGGACCGGCTCCGATACCAAATTGCAAGGGCAATGAGCAATAGCAAAATGACAGAATTCCAGATTGCAAAATGACACTGAAAGCCAGGTAGTCGTAAGCTGTCCAGACAGCAGAAATGCACTGAAGTCACACCGAAGGAGAACCAAAGCAGCGAACTCAATTGTCAATGAAAGCATACTCTTGCCACCACCAACAACGTAATTGAAGCTCTTCCTCCTACTGGCGCTCAGTGCCCAGACTATGATCACACAGCTGCTCTAATAGCCTACAAATGACGAAGCAACCTGTTGACATCAGCAGCAGCAACCAAGGTACATGCAGATGTCGACCACGTAGACCTCCGCCAGGACCAGGTACGTGGTCTCACATCGCCTCCTCTCTTGCCCTCATCATGCTCACCCTCGTCATCTCTCCCACATCCTACCTCCTTCCAAGGACCACCGCCATACCCCGCTGATCATCCAAGCCCAAGCCCGGCTATGGGGGCTGGGCTATGGCGCTGCCTGCTTGCAGCGCCCTACTTCCACGATCACGCGCGTTCTTGCACCTAGCACGCGCTAGCAGGCGCGACATCAACGCTTGCAGCACACACTCCAGCAACGCTGTCGCACGCACATCCAAGTGCCCGACTGCCTGCCTTTCGGTCAGGCACTTTACCATATGCAGAGCGGCTTGGCCCGGCCTCGCGTGTGCCCAGTAGACTCACGTTGGCCAAAGTGTCTGTGCCCAGGCCCACTCAGACAGTGGCCTGGGACGGAATTGGTTAGGCGTGCCCAACCACCCAGGCACAAATGTGCGGTGTTCCCTGCTTCCCCTGTGTTCTTAGAAGAGCAAAGAAGGCTCACAAATATTTCTGATTCTCACTAGCAGGGTGGATGTACCAACTGGCACGTGGTAACCGTCTGGTGCCCACCAAGACTTGCAAAATTGACGAATTCAGGTCTCGTTCAGATTCAGGGGCCTGCCTTCACTTAGGGCGGAAACATGCTTGCTTATAGGGGCCGTATGCAGGTTTGCCGACGGTTCAAATCCTCGCAAAAACAAAAACAAAAAATTTAAAAAAATGGAAAAAAAATCGGATCCGAGTGATCTTTTTTTTGTGGTTTGAACTTTTGATGGATAGAACAAGTCGCACACACATATGCACCAAGTGCCAATGTAGACATCAAATGGGAATATACCCCGCACCAAACCGCATCAGAGCTCCGCTGCCAGACGTGGAGGATGAGAAAGGGAAGGAGGAAGAGGAAGATCATTCAGTTTCCACCTTTCTTTCTGATTTATTATCATCATCATAATCTCTGTGTGTGTGTGTGTGCGTGTGTGTGTGTGTGT